AGATTAAATGTTGGTTGATTCCCCCATCTTCTGGAGATAGCCAAGCTCCACTGTTTTAATGAGTTTTCATATGTTTTGTGATGCTTAGTGATAACAAGTCTACATTTCTTACTGACAATTGTATACATCCACTTCCAAGTGTGTATGTAAAAACCACTTTTTCTAAATCATGATAAAACTAATGGGTCAGTTGTCTAAAAGCATCCAAACAGGAATCCCTTTGTATAGCATGATGAAAATATGGAGGGAAGGACTGTGTGAACATTCTCAAATAAAAGTTCACCCTTGGACTCAAAATCAAGATGTTCTACCTAACCAAAAAGTAACCGAGTCACAAAAATGCCTTGTATGTACTGAATTATGTTAACATGCCTTTTCGATATGTTACCTTACCTTGTAGATAGTCATGTTCAAGATATCATTAACATTAAATGATGAAGAAACATCCATCAAGCATTTGGCATATAGACACTGTGCTATATACTCTAAATATGTTATCTCTTTTGGTCTACACAATAACACTGCAAAACAGGTTAGTATTTCCATTTTGCAGTTTTGGAAACTATGACTTTCTATGACTAGGCTGTTAAGTGGAAGAGTTAACTCAAAAATCCTCATGTGGGGGCACCTGGGTGGATCAGTCGGTTGAGCTTCCGACTTCAGCTCAGGTCATGATCTCACGGTTCGTGGGTTCAAGCCCCGCGTCGGGCTCTGTGCTGACAGCTAGCTCAGAGCCTAGAGCCTGTCTTCGGATTCTGTGTCTCCCTCTTTCTCTGACCTTCCTCTGCTCACACTGTCTCTCTTTTTTTTCCTCTCTCTCTCAAAAAAAATAAATAAATAAAAAAAATTCTCATGTGTTCCAAAACCACATCAATTAGAAAGAGAACAGAGCTTTCCGAGACCTTTCATGGATGTGTAGAAAGTCCCCATTTCTAGAAATATATTTACTTAATCATATGAGTCATCAGGACAGAGCCAGAAAATACAACGTTATTGCCCCTCTATAATCAGAACCAAATAGAAATGATGGGATAAGAAATATTTTTACAGGCTTTACAACCTTAAAGATATTATTCAATCTATGAATTCCAAATCAGACCAAGGAAAACTGGGTCAGAAAGCAAACAATTCGATCACATGAAACCACTGTTCAGATTTTTTCTACTATGCTAAGACATTCTGCTCATTAACGCAGATTATTTTTAAGGGCTTAATGAAGTTGGGGTGGTATATGATTGTTTACTTTGTTGCAAACTTCTCTTCTCTAACTCCAGTGACTGTAAATAGGAGACTGTCGATCATGGTGCCCCTCCTCTCTGGCCGTGCAACTGCTGGAAACCACGGAACTAACTATGGTTCTCCACGCCCGATCCAGAGCTGGGCACAGCTCATCTGGAGTTCTTCTTTGGAATTATTCTAGATGGTGGAGACTGTTCTCTCCTACTGGGTTGCAAGAATGTGAGTCATGGCTGTGACCTATGGTCAGGGGGCCTTGCTTGGAAACTAGACCGAACCACAGAGAGTGGTGGCAGAATGGAAGAGGGGGAGAGAGCGAGAGCATGAGTGAGAGAGAGAGAGAGAAAGAGAGAGAGAGAGGAAGAGGAAGGAGGAGGAGGAGGGGGGTGGTGAGAGAGTGAGAGACGGCAGGCATACCTGGCTAACTCCCACAGACTGCAGTTCAAATTTCTGTATTCAGGCCATCCACACACAAGTTCCATCCCTGCGCTTCTGTGGTTTGTCTAAACAAAGCCTTTCCTTTTGCTGAAGGTGTTTTGATTCTTTTTTTAAATATGCGGTGATAAACTTAAGCTACGTAAGAAAACACGCTCGTTACTTTAAAGCTACATTCCTATTCCTGTGTCCTTGTCAAATACAATGATGTAACAAGTCAAATCGGCAAGTATTTATGGAGAGGTAGAGGGAAGAGGCATTGCGGCTTAGTGATAGTGAGAGCCGAGTCAGAAATGAAGACACAAAACGTCTCTTTGGTCAATGAAGACTAAACTGCAAATACCACGGTAGTTATGGTATAAAATGAAAACAGACATACCTTTAGGCATCCTCATAGTATGAAACTGACTGAATAAAATATGTAGGTAATAAAACCACAGTACAGAGGAGGGAACGGCCAGGCTGGAGATCCCATTGTAAGCCTCTGTAGTGTAGGTGAAGTTCTACTCAGAACGACACAGACTGTACCTGCAGTGAAACCCCCTTAACTGACCACATCGATGGCTGAAGGTATGAATACCCTTCCATCTATCCACAGAAAATATGATACAAGGCTTACGCTAGGGCACGGCAGCTTCCCTTGGTGTCGTTTGTGCACTTCCGGAAGGGCTCTGCGCTCGGTTTAATGCTCTGCTATCCTAAAATGTTTTGATAATTTTTTTAACAAGGGGCCCCACATTTTCATTTTGCACTGTTTCCCGGACACTGTGTCAGTGGTCCTTTCCTAAGGAAAGACACACATTTTCTACAAACGAGTCAGACCAATGGTCTTGCCCATCAAAACCACCTATTTTCTAGAAGTTAAAGGGCAAAGAAGTGCTCACCTGCCATATAGTCCTCCTACGCCTTTTATTAAAAGCAAATGATTTTGAAAAAAAAAATGAGAAGTCTGCAGTAAAGAGCAGTCATAATCTGCCAGTTCACAACATGGGCACCAAGGGGTGAGCAAAGTCACCAACTGTTGCATCAAAAAGCGAAATCAGCAAGGGTTGGGTCAAAAAGCCACAGTATGAGGGCGCCTGGGTGGCTCAGGTAGTAGAGCGTCAGGTTTTGGCTCAGTCGGTCTGGGCTCGGGTCATGATCTCACAGTTCATGAGATGGAGCCCCATGTCCAGCTCTGTGCTGACAGTATGGAGTTTGCTGGAGATTCTCTCTCTCTGCCCCTCCCCTACTCATTGGAGCACATTCTCTCTCTCTCTGTGTAAATGAAGTTTTTTTTTTTTAAAAAAGGCCACAGTAGATTCTTAGTAGAATGTAGTCCTACTACATTCTTAGTAGGACATGACAAGCACAGGATGGAAGATAAAAGAAACTTCTGGTTGGTTCATGAGGCACCTAGTGAAGAAAAGCCACTTTTAGTCATGTTAGATGCATACAATGTCACACAACAGTGGATTGGTACCAACGGTGATCCCTAGGGACACAAGTCTACCTCACAGAGCACAGGCTACATGGGGCCGGCATCACTGGAGGGCTGTGCGCACGTGTATGAATGAGTCAGTCTCCACAGTCCCTCGGGGGTGGCATCTCACCAGTTCCTGTGGAGGCGTGCGGAGCAAAGGCAAGCCACAATGAGAATACGTACCCACCTTCTCGTCCCAGGGTCCCCAAAAGTAGCACCACCACAGGACCCTGCCAGCCTTCTGAGACTGACTTATTTCTTTGATGTGCCATCAGAGCAACTGCTCCAAAACCACAGCCCCATCCATCGTGTCTCCTTGGTGCCTGCCTCTCATCGTTTCCATTCTCATTAAGGACTCCAGCCCCGGCCATCAAACAAATGGCTGTACATGGCGAAATACTCATCTTTCAGATTTGTACATTCAGGTGACTGAGGTGTCAGCCCTTTACCAGGGGAATAAGTTGACATTAGAGAGAAAAGGAGGCCTTCCCCTGGAGGGAAGCTGTAGGTGACGTGCCGAGGTCAAAAGAAGGCTCCTCTGTACAATTTTCCAAACTGACAGGCCTTGCTTGGTGATTGTTTTTTAAAAAGATGATATATAACTAAGTCTGAAGGAAATGAATGATAGTTTAAATGTGCTTATATTTCAGGAATTACCTCTCCTATCTCAACTGCGTGGACTGATGACTCAGCTGCATCTTTTAAGTTAACCCATAATGATGGACTTTGAGGTAGCATACCCTCAGTATCTTTAGAGTAGATGTTTCCAGTGTTTTCCTTCTGTTCAAACCACTCTCTTTTTCCATCCACTATTCACTGAGGTATAGTTTTTTCCATGATAATGCTATGGACTCTAAGTAATGTGTATGAGTTAGTATTCATAGCATAGTCTATGTGTTCAACAAATGCCAGCAATCAATTTCAACTGATTTAAGGATGTATCAGAATCTACTTATATATGAAAACTAGGTAGATAATCATGATTTTGTATGTGAGGACAATAAGCAGAAATTGTGGAATTTTGTGGCATGATGAACATAGTCTCTTAGGAGGTACGTTTTCTGAAGATCTAAAGCAAAGTAATTGTTAGTGCAAGGATATTGGAAAATATACTAATTGGTTCAGTATTAGGGTTTGGTTTACAGGGCTGATTATGTTTCCTTTCCATTCTCCCAAGAGACCCAGCTATTTGGGGCTGCTTTCCTGGGAGTGCTAGCTTTCCTCCTGAATTAATATTCAATATGCCTCTATGGAATATTGTAATCAGTGACAGAGACTTTATTTCATATACTTAAGAGAGGAAATTTCCCTTCATTCCTGAAAAAATTTCCTTTAGGAAATATGGTGTAAGTCTACTAGAATCCTGAAAGGTCTTTTAAAAAAATATTGATCATCTGTTTCTTGGTGATACTTGGCTGAAATTTTAATACAAATGGTGAAATTTGGACAATGCCTCATGAATTGAGCAAAAACAGAACAAAAGAAAATTGAGTCATCTTACCTCTACTATCCTTGCTATTGGTCTTTTGAGGTGAGTAGGTCTGTCATCTCAGCAGGATTGTTCCCCTCCACTTACATGATCTGCTTTTGTGTGGTTTCCTCATCATACATAGAAGTTGTTTTACCAGACGGTGGCCCTGGCAAACCATCTCCCCAGCTATTCTCTGTAACATCATAGCTTCTATGCCAATCCTTCTTACTCAAACTCCAAATTTTGCCAAATCTTAGCACCCTGTTAAGACTTGATATTCCAGGTTGAAGGCCATCTAATTTTTCATTCAGGCTATAAACCTTGGCAACCCCAGTGGTGTCACACCTAATAAAACACCAGTTTTAAAATGCCATTGTGCAAATGAAAAAAACCTACCTTTCTTGTAGAATGAGTTTGTTCTCTTTCTTCCAAAAGTCTTTAAAGTCAGAGCTGAATTCATGCCAGATACTGAAGAAAACATTTGGGGACACCTCCTTCTCTCCAATTTTTGGTTTCATGAAGAAATAGGCTGTAGTCTCCAAAAAGCTGTCAAAGCACACACACACACACACACAAGCATAAAAGCTATGATTACTTTCCAATATGGGATATTCTTCTTCATCCAAATGTTGATTTCATTCATGTGCAGTTATTATTACCAAGAGGACTCAAAATCTTCAAGCATCAACAGTAGTCTCTTACGGTTTCCTGTTTGAGTTTTGGATACAGATGATAGCAGCTGATAAGAGCCCTCCATATACTGATAACTATGCCTGATCCAATTCCATTTTCAAAGCTAATAACTAGTGCCTGACATATTTCAGAAATAAAACCTGTAGTCAAGTGGGACCTACTGAAAGTAATGGGTCTATAATTTTTTCCAACTCTCAAAAAATATATAGCCATTTGTCCCCAAACTAATATGTATTCTATATATACTTAATATTGCTTACATACATTCTGGCTTGGAAAGCTGGGGAAAGAAGAAAGTGAGTTCCAGAAAATGGTGACAAGGTGTCCCATCAGATCATGGCAATATCATTGAGTGGTACCAATATGATACTCGTCACTGTGACAGACCGACAGAGCCAGTCTTCAGAAGGTGCTGCTTCAAACGACAACTACAGGAAGCTCAGAAGAGTTTCAAAAGGCCTATTTGACAGAGAACATACATCTCACAAATGGTAGATTTAAAACTCAACAAAAATCTTCCATTCCCATAAAAAATGCCCTGAAACAGACCTAGCCAATAAAACTGGTAATGCCGTAGAGAAGAGACACGGGCAACTGGTCAGAGTATGGCCAGAGTTGCTGCAAACAGGAGTGATGTTCCAATAACCTTTCCCTCCTTTGCTTGTTTCCCCACCTTGGCAGAAGGCAAGCACTAATGCTGCTACACAAAGATCAAGTTTGATTTACTAGGAAGTAAATATTTCTAAGGCAACTTGATTTTGCCACACTGTATTAAGAATATGTGTACACATATATATACATTCACACACATCTGTGTGTGTATTCAGTTTGCCATATAGCTGATTTTATATCCCTATCCTGAGGAAAATATGAAAAATATCTCATTGAGATGAGCATTCATAAGATGAGATGTGCAAGGTGAGTCTGCTCAGAAGATAAAGGAGGCTGAGCATTACACACAAAATTAAGAATTCACAGCCACCCTAAGAGTTACCAACGGGCGAGTCTGTACTGTTTTTAAACTTTCCTTATAGTGGTCTCTGAGCAGGAAGATTCCCAAGGACACCAGCATTTAGATTGGGGATGACAGGATTTAGATATAGATTAGATTTAGGTTTAGGTTTAGGTTTAGGTTTAGGTTTAGGTTTAGATATGACAGTGTTATGTGGTCAAATGTGTAATTCCTGGGAATTATGCATTTCTCCCTAGTTAGCCTAGCAGGAAAAATGACACAGTAAAGAAAGTCAATTCTGAGAAAGAGTTAGGCTGTGAAGTGGATATTGTATCTGAGAGTCTGGCTGCTGTCAGCTATGGGGATGACATCAGGATGCTCCACGGGAGGTACTGATGGTGTGAAGACGACCAGGAGAGTGGAGAGCAGGGAGCAAGAGCAGTCTAAGGCACATCTGGGCCATATTTTATTAAAACTGATAATGTATGCACATAATTCCCTCCTGTAAAAACTGGTCATTCTCCTTATGTGCCTAAAGACTATTTATGACCTGTATGGCAGAAATTAGGTCTCAAATCCTTGACTATCCATTTATTCTTTTCCATCACTTCTCAGTATTTATGCCTCGTAAAATTTATTACAGACCAAGCCAGTCTACTTGGGCAGACATATCTCAGTTTTAATACTTGGTTCATCTGTTCAGCCATGTACAACTTTTTGAAAGTTGTGTCATGAGGCAGCATGGTAGAAAGGAAAGAACAGAGGATTTAGAATAGGAAGACAAAGGATATTGACTCTGGCTCTTTGACTCGCTATATAAACAAACCATTTCACATCATTCTGACTCAGCTTTTTCATCTATAAAATAGTGCATGTCATAAGCAATTTAATTCTAAAAACATTAGTTTCCAGAGTGTTTGTTAAATGTTTTAACACAGGACAAACTTATTTTGTGTTGCTTATTATTTTACATCACATATATTCTACATTCTATATGACATATTAAGAAATATAAATATATATTTACCAAATATTTTCTCGAAACTGTAACTAGTTGAATTGAGGTTGATTTATTAATAAATGCTTATATGATCGTGTTCCCTGCAGATATTTTTGAATCATTGGCATGCACGGAGGTTTGTGATACTAGTAACAATTATTCTAATTATTGAATAATTTCCCCGTGGCTTTGTCCTAAATTGCCTACATAGCTTTAGGAAGATAACAACTTTTGAATTTCAGTTTTGAGCTTTTAGTTTCTTCATCTGTAAAAGGGAAGGTATGTCTGCTTTTCTAGATATCATAAAGATTAAACAAAAAGTACTTGCAAGTTATAAAATAAAATAGCAATATATGTATTCACTTTATAAGGAGCAAGCATTTTTCACCAAAAACACTCTATGTGCTAAACTTAATAAGTCGGTGGGACATATTACTATCCTGCTATTGAGTTAAAGTCAACGTGAAATTGCTGAACAGAATGGCTCTTCATGATGACAACCTATGTGCTCAGCCATTTCTTTGGAAGCAGCCACAGTGAAAGAACAAGTGTCACCCAAGTATGACACAAATAGTAAAGAATGACCTCAGGACCACAAATGCTGTCCCAACTCTATTCAACAACCCCACATCCTAGAATAAAGCATAAGCACTTTTCTAAACCAACCAAACAAACGATTGGCAAAAATTTCTACAAGTTATCAGAGTATACCAGAGGTATTTTTGGTTATAAAATCCCGTCAATATTAGGTGGCATTTGGCTAATTCACACTTAAAGAACAAGAGAGATACACGTTTGGTTGATGGGTGGAAGGGATATGTTCTATTCTTTCTGAATCCTCCCCTTTTTTCCTAAATCTGAATCCAGGAGGGTCCCTTCTGCCAAACAGTAATACAGGAACACAAAAGAATGAGGGCATTTTTTGGGACCTTCCTCAGTACTGGCTGTTCTGTGAAACTCTCTTGAAATGACTGTGAAACACTAGGAGCCAGTAGAGAAAAGAACTAAGTTCTTTTAGTTCTCACACTAAGAAAGTACAGCAATCATAGTAAAAAGCAACTCCAGAGGTCACCAAAACCCAAGAACCTTGTAATCACAATTCTTAAATAGCCCTTTCTGGAAAACATCAGCACTATACTTTTAGTACAAACATGAGATAGTACAAATATACTGCTCTGCAATACAACTGAGGTGACCACAGAGTTCTGAAAAGATAGCTCCAGCAGATTTGTTTTGAAATTTCTCTGAATCCCCACACAAAACCAGAGTCACCAACTAAGACGTTAAAAATCAAAGCAAATAGGAAAATATCTGCAAAAACACTGTGTCCAATATCACCACAAACTTCAAAATGCAAATAGGTAGGGGGGGGGGCCTCTGGGGGTCTCAGTCTGTTATGCATCTATCTGACTTTGGCTCAGGTCATGTTCTCGCAGTTCGTGGGTGCTGACAGCTCAGAGCCTGGAGCCTGCTTCAGAGTCTGTATCTCCACTCTCTCACTGCCCCTCTCTGGTTCTCTCTCTCTCTCTGTCTCTGTCTCTCTCAAAACTAAACAAACATTACAAAAAAATTTTAATGCAAACAGGTGAGACAAATCACTGACAACATAAAACCCAATCATAACATCATTTGTTTAGGAGGAAATAGAGGGACTCCCCTAAAAACAGAAGAACCCCTGAGTCATAAACAGGCACTCGGGAAAAGCGTTAAGGGCCAATCTGAGAATTGCAGTTGAAATTGGAAGGGCTTTACGCACTGTAACCCATGGAAGAGGAGAAAAGATCTACAGTAAATTCTGAAAGGGATGGGAACAATCTGCAGCACATGAAGTCTTAGTACTAACCAAGAGAAACTCCCTCTTATGGCAAAACTCTGCATTGATAGAAAATGCTGGAAGTAGACTCAAACTATGCAGGATAAACGCAGGGACAGAGGAAATAGAAAATGCAGATAGAGGGGAGGTTTTGCAGGCAATATGAGGTCATTTTTGTTTTACTCTTTTGTGCCATTGTGCACAAGCAACAAAAGAGAAAACTCTAGAACAGTGAAGCTATAAAAGCTATCCTCATTCATCTCATCTTCCTGAAAGAAAAATAATTTTATATAAAAATGAGAAAAATATTGGGGTCGAAAAAAGTATGCCAGTCAAACACTAAACATAGTCATAGTGATGTGGTTTTATTATCAGAAAAACAGGTTTCAAGACAATACTATCATTTTCATCATTTCGACATCATTTCCTAATGAGAAAAACATCACATTTTCAGAAAGATGTAACAATCCTAAATATGTATGCATCTAATAAGAATTTCAAAATACACGAAGGAACACCCAACAAACAAAAAGGGAAAAGAGGTAAAATTTTCATCATAATTGTTTATTTTAACATCCTATCTCAGTAATGGACAGAACTAGAAAAAAATCACTAAGGATATATAAGATATGAATATTATCAACAAATTGACTTAACTGACTTTTATAGAACACTGCAATAAAAAATTAGAATATATTAGGGCATCTGAAAACATTCACCAACACAGATCAGATGCTAAATTATAACAAGTCTCAATAAATTTCAAAGGACTGAAATTATCCAGAATGTGTTCTCTGACCATAGTGGCTTTAAATATGAAAAAAAATGAAAATGGTATATCCAGGAAATCTTCAATCTGGAAATAAACTAAAACTACTATAAATAACCCAGGGGCCAAAAAAGTAATCACACACACACACACACACACACACACACACTCACAAATTAGAAAATATTTCAAACTGACTAAAGTTGAAAATATAAGATATCAAAATATGTGGGAGCAGATTAAGCAGTGCTTAGAATTCAGAACTTTAAAATATCTATAATGAGAAAAAATCCTTATAATTAGAAAAAGAAAGGTATAA